GTCACCGTGATATGCAAATTGAAATAATCAAGAGGTAAAACGCAGATCTTGAAAGTATACTTGAAGAAATACCTTGTGAATTGTTCACAATTATTTTTGCCTCTATGTCCCACAGCCTGTTTGTAACGCCACAACATGTTAATCGGATCTCAAATTCTTTCTGTAACTGCCCCGTTTCATTTGCAATCTCACTTCCACATACCACAGGCGGCATGCTTCAATCTCATCTCCTTCATCTCCCCCCTCCCCCACTTACTTCCTCGAATCATCACTCTTATTTACTGACCAACATAACTCTTTTTTCTGGTCTAAGAACTCCAAACATTCAGTCAACATGACAATACGAGAATTTCAGATTTCCTAAGCCATTCTATTACCATCTATGAGTGCAAAATTAATCTCTATGATGCAGAAATGGGCTTTACTTGAATCAATTGAATGATATGGGAATATTTATTTATTTGTGGCAAATGGCAGACTTTGTGATAGTTGTTATCAGCCTCTTTAGTTGACTTCGGGTTCCACAGAGAGAAGAAACATCAAGGTCACAAAAATTGGAGTGGGGAACAGAAGGCCGATTCACAGATATAAAAGCGAGACAGACACACAATGGCCGAATATGCCATTTAGTCAATTCATGGTGGTTTGAAGTCAGCTGCAAAGTTTTGGACATTATGTCGTATGAGTATATGTTTCCCAGGGTGCACCACGTGAAGATAAGTCTATCACTCACAACCTGATGATGATGATGATGATATGGGAATATAAAATTAGTGAATCAACGAAGTTACCTTATTTATGAGTGTGCACGACCTTAGCCGAATCTCATTCTACATAGGCCTGTAAAGCCAATCAACCGCAACATTTAGAAAATCTGATAGCCTATGGAGCAGATCTGAATGCCCTAACAAAGCGAGGCCAAACGCCACTCCACCTATGCGTTTGGCATGAGTCTGATGCTTGTCTGCGACAACTACTTCTTCGAGGAGCTGATCCCAGGGTGGTAAATGAAGACAATCAGACCCCTCTTGAATATGCTCTCCTCACAAACCGCAATGAACAGGCATCTATCCTCCAGGATTTCGATCCTGCTAAAGTGGGTATGTCACTGTCAGATTTCTAGTTCATGAGTTTTCAAATTTGAATTAATTGACAGAGTTTGTCTTGACAAATGCAATAAATACTACTTCTTTAGGTCAATATGATATGTGACGTTAAAGTCTGAGGAGAGAAAGCAGTGGTTAAAAGAGTCAACCGAAATCGGGTTTACCTCTCCTCCGGCAGGAGAATGATAATTAAGATTTTTGTGTTAGTTTCGAGATTTCCTGCTTTCCTATTTGTTTGTTAAAACGAAGAAAATGTTTTAACCAAGAAAAGTTAACTCACCCTTTTTTGATAAATATTCATTAACTTCACATATTTGTCACTTAAATGCGCTATTTGGGTTCTTTATTTTATGTCTATCTTTTGGAGGCCAATCAGGGTATGACATTCCTAATCTTACTAGAAAGCAGGCAATTAGAATGTGGTGGATGTTTCGACAAATGATTTTTTGTTCTATTCTTCCATATTACTAAGGGATTATTCGCATTTCACTATTCTCTCGCATTTCGCTTCGGAAGCAGGATTTCATTGGTTGTCAAATGTGTTTTGGGTTAATGTGATTTATGTGATCTCAATAAATCATTTCTTTGCAACTAGTTTACTCTGTCTTGGCTCTTATTATATTGTGCTTTCTTCTAAAAGTTCTCAAATGTTTCCTTGAGGAAATCTTAGTTTGTAGTTATTTTTTTGAATGAAATATCTCAGAGGCAAAATTGAGCGCAAAGAATTTTGCTCAGACGAAATGAATGGAAAACCAAGAAATGAATTAATGATAGGAGCATATTGAGCAACAGAGTAGTGCATAGTTGCTTTAATTAGGGATCGTGGAGAATAACTCGATTAAATGTGGTGGCACATATAAAGCCACTCTAGGTCTTATCATCAGAACTACTTCATGACCAGAGAAAGTTGGCCCAATAAATACCCCTTTTCCACAAGCCGGTAACAAAACCACTTTTTAAAAAACGGAAAAGCAAGAGTCCAGTTTAGATGGGAAACTTTATTTAACATCCGTTGGGAATGTAAGTTAGAAAATTGGAGCAGGAAATCTGATAGTATTGACGCGGATTAAGCGTCCTTTGGTGGTCTGATGAATATCTAATTAAAGGCCAACTTGAAATCATGATGAAGCCGACATTCAGGTCAACTTGTGCCTTACTCCGAAATATTTCACACAACTTAAATGAGTCCTTTGACTCAACATGTGCTTTCGTTAACTCGGTGCAAGAATTTATGGAGCCTGAAGATCCACCATAATGCTGATTTATGCACGACACTCGTTATGTTACTTGATGATTTGGCATATGTAAAGTAGTACCCCTTTCCAACCCCTTTGCGCAAAGTTATTGTTAGGGCACCCAACTGAATACTCACGTTTCCAACATTTTTCTCAAACACTCTGAAATATCTCTTCTACTGAAATCCTACGCTCATTCCTGCATGCATTAGACCATCTAGGAAGAGGCAGTCAGCTCAATTATTGAGTAACTAAACAGATAATCAATTATCACCTTTTCGGCCTATTTAAGTGCATTTAGGCTGTTAATTAAAGGGGTTGTTTGAGATCTAAGTCTTCTCTTTAGCCTTACGTGGGTCTGAGTAGCTGTTGCCATTGGAAAGCTCTATGCTCAATGGTAGCCAAGAGGTATACATTCACTTACACCTGTTCAACCACCTTCGTTTGAAATTCGCTCGAGTGAAAAAGTTGGCACATGATTTAAATGATTTGGCAGCGGTTGTACTAGACGTCAATGCGTTAAGGTAGCACGACAATTAGATTGCAGTTTATATAGGGGGGATTGTTTTTTCTTTTACATCAATAAGTCAGATTGATGCCAATTTTCATTACTTGAGTTCATTGCATTTCCGCGTGCAGTCTTAAACTGCTTTAATCAATGCAAAGATACACTTAAAAACTACTTCCATTTATTACTAACCTCTTACTTTAATAATGATGAAATAATACCGTTAGGCATTTTTTCGTAAGTTTCATGGCTTATTCAAATTTAGAATGTTTCTAAAATGGAGGTTGAAAGCAAGCATAATTTGATTAAATAGATCTATTCTCCTTTTAAGTTGCCATTAGGGATCGGCCAAGCTACAACACGTCTCGACGGCCAATAGTGAACGGCCCTCGAGGAGCCGTGGCCTACAGTTACCTTCACAAATCTCCTCCCCGCTCTAATGCAGGCAGTGCAAGTGATTACATGGCCTCTCTCTCGCCTTCTGAAAGCCTTTTTTCAGTTGATCGACTGTCCACGCGCAATATCTGCTCTCCACTGACCACGAATGCCACCGTGAACTCCAATGGCGCCTCTGATGACGCGTTTACCAATTCAAAATACACTCGCCTTTCGCATACAAGAGAAGATTACTCTGGAACCGTAGGAGGCATATCAAAGGCTAGAATAACAAATTTCGGTGTAGGTAAGTTGATCATGTTTTATTCTTTCTCAGATTTTATCCCAAGCATCCCACTATTGATATCCAAGTTAAGAAAGCCCGTAATTAATCAAGATCGACAAATGTTTCTTTTACTTTGAGTCGTTACAATGTCCTTTCAAGCAAAATGTAGTTGAGCAACAGATTGATTCTAGAAAAGTTGGCATTTATAGGATTGGCATGCCTTTTTAAGTTATCTCCAAAATGAATGTTTAGAGCGTGTAGTAACTGAAAGAAGTGCTGAAACTTGCATGCTTTGTATTGGGTGGGCAACTAAGTCTTTGGCGTTTTTGTTGACAGATTCACTCTATACTTTCTTTTGTTTTGTTAACGTGGCCAGAGCATCTAACCTATATTTTTTTCTTACTCTATGGGCTTCTAGGTTAATTAGTAAAAAATTTTTTTTAATTAGTTCTTTAGTTTTGTTTTTATCCCAATTTAAAAATGAAAGAACAGGACGTGCACTTCCGACACATTTTATTGTATTACTTCCGAAAAGGCAAGAACGCATCGCAAGCACAAAAGAAGTTATGTGCCGTATATGGAGATGAAGCCTTAAAAGAAAGGCAGTGTCGAAATTGGTTTGAAAGATTTCGTTCCGGTGATTTTTCGCTGAAAAATTCACAACGATCTGGCCGCCCAGTCGAAGTGGATGAAACCCATATCAAGGCCATTATCGATTCAAATCGTCACAGCACAACACGAGATATTGCAGAGAAGCTCAATGTGTCGCATACATGCATTGAAAAAAAATTAAAAACCCTTGGTTATGTCAGGAAACTTGATTTATGGATCCCTCACCAGTTAAAGGAAATTCATTTGACGCAACGGATTAGCATCTGTGATTCGCCGCTACTGAAACGCAATGAGAATGAGAATGATCCATTTCTGAAGAACCTAGTTACTGGCGACGAAAAGTGGATAGTTTATCACAATGTCGTTACTCGCAAGAGATCATGGGTGAAGCAAGATCAACCAGCCCAAACAGTATCAAAAGCAGAGATTCACCAAAAAAGATTATGCTATCGGTCTGGTGGGGGGATCACAAAGGAATTTTGTATTTTGAACTCATGCCGCAGAACCAAACGATAAATTCAAATGTGTATGTTGAAGAACTCGAAAAACTGAAGGATGCAATTGAAGATAAGCGGCCGGCATTATCAAATCGGAAGGGTGTTGTTTTCCATCATGATAACGCAAGGCCCCACACATCTTTGGTTACTCGGCAAAAATTATTGGAACTGGGTTGGGATGTTTTGTCACACCCACCATATAGCCCTGACCTTGCGCCTTCGGATTACCACTTGTTTCGTTCCATGCAAAACTCTGTAAATGGTAAAATTTTTAACAACGCGGATGATGTCGGATCACACCTAATTCAGTTTTTTTAATAGCAAATACCAGACATTTTACGAACGGTGAATTTTTACTCTGCCAGAACAATGGAAAGAGGTCATCGACAAGAACGGCCAATATCTAATTGAATAAAGTTATATTTCTAAACAAAAATTCCGAAGTTGCCTTCTTATTTGAAATCGGCAATGACTTAGTTGCCAATCTAATAGAATGCTCATTGAGACTTGAGTACGTGAATGGCGTTGACTGCAGATGGTTTCAGTTGTCCTTAAATATTAAAAGTTTTCATTTTTAAGTTGTTTCAAATTTATTGTGCTAATTTTATTTCCTCTGTTACCGGATCGATCCTGAATTAAGAGGTGTTTTCTGCTGGACTGAGAATGGCTAAAATTCCGATATAAATTAAGAATATGAGGACAATTTTTCTTCCAAAATAGTTTTATATGATTTATTTTTTGCTAATTCCTTTTATTTACCATTAATTTTATGCTGCCCACAAATCTTAACTTATAAGAATTGGATTGTGTCATCACCAACTTTTACAAATTTGCGCCATTGGAAGTAATACTTTCTTTTGAGAGAGTAGTAGAATATAGCCAAGTTTGTAAAATATGTACAAGGCGTTCGGTTGAATTTAATAGTTTCATCAGGAAAAAGGTTGAAGTGTAGTTTTTAAAAATTAAGAGACTTTAAAGATATTCAATGAACCAGGGAGTCACTTATTGTCAAGGAAGTTTTACTCAAATTAAAAGCAGTCATCGTCTATCAGAGCCTCAATCCGTCCCTTACCCACACCCGGACACTGGAGCAAGCTGAATTGACACTTTCCAAAAACCGCCTCCATTTTCTATATTAATTGGTTGTCTTTTATATTGCTGGTAAGGCGATACGAGTCTTTCTCCACTTCGTCCAATACATGCATAGAAGTCCATCTTCTTAAGATTTGGAGGCTGGGGGGGGGGGGAAGGGGTGGAGGAATATGCGGAACTAGAGGTCAAAAGCTGGAACCAGCGTTGTCGTAAAGCCATTTTTTTTCTCTAAGGAGTGGTAGGGATCGAATCCTACTGTCAGCATTCATTTGGCTCTTTATTAACGGGCTTTATTTAGGGCTTAGCTTTTATAATGGTCAATGGTGCCAAATGGGCATTTGGTTCAACTTGAGCTCTTCTTTAAGAAATGAATAGGGTAGAATGATGTCTCCCACAGTGAATTGCACACACTCGAACGCTATGACAGTTTTGGGAAATTTAAGAGTAGCTTTGGACTATCGTATGCCAACTGCCATTCTACTTGCAGCACCTTTCATTTTGGCAAAAGTCGTTCTCGTGGGAAAGGATCCAGCTGGTTTGTGCTTCAGCAAGATGTTTTCTCTTTTCAGACGTTTCTTCCCGGTTATAAGACCATTTTCGTTGATATTTAGTGTGAGAAGTTTATCTCTCGGACGCTTTGTTGACTCGTGATAGCGTTGGGTTTCATTGAGTGCAATCTATATGGTAGAGGCTGAAACATTCAATTAACTGCGGCGAAATAGGCCAAATGCCATTGGCAGTGTGCTCCAACACTTTTTTCTGCTACAAATTTTTGAAGAAATTTGTTATTGTTCTTCTTTATTTAATCGCATTTCTCCTCTCTACATCGGATTGGTTTCATATTGTTGGGGGAGCGTTAAACAGGCTCAAGTAATCGCCTTGTTTAAATGGCAGGAGCAAATCATCTTAGCACAATGTATTCTCTTCCATGAGCGAGGTGGATACAGGCATCAATTTAATTTGTTATTACGTAATTGAATGAAGACGGGCTTATACATTCCAAGAAAGAGTAGTGTGTAAGAGACCTTTCACACACATAGAAAACAGCCTATCTAAATGAGATGTACTGGTAGAGATTTATTTAGCTCGCATTACCTTCATGACATGATTGATTTTGTTGTGAAAAGCAAACGGAAAGAGAATTAGAGTTAAAAAATGTGTGCTAAGGTAATAAAGACAGGAAAATTGATTTCAAGTAATTTGGACTTCCATATGAAGGCAGCAATACTGTAAGAATTTAAGCTGATCGTCCTGGTGGTCTGTCAATGGATGCATATTACTCTTTGAATAGGAAGCTGGTACACTTTGTGTACAGACTGAATTGCTTTAAGGCATAGATGTTATCCGAGGTGTATTGAGTTCGTTTCCTATTAAGAAGGCATTAATTTACTCTTGTTGGCCACATATTTTCTTATGGTTTGGAACAACGTAAACAAAAGACAAATAATTAGAATCATGGGATTAATCATTATGTCGACATTTTTACCACTGTAGTGAAAAGCATCGTTTACTTATGTAACTTAATGGTGTTGTTCTACTTGTTTCTCATCCAATGGAAATAGAGAAAACAAAATCGGCTAGTATTACCCCCTCTACCCCTCTCCCCCCGCAGTCTTTTTTACCACAACTCAAAGTTGCCTTCCTCGGAGCTATCGCTTTTTCCTTTTCCTGTCAAATCCCAATTCACGTCCTGCTTCCTTCCCTCTCCCACTCCTTTGCGGCTCTCCAATGTACCCAGGGTCCAACTTGATTTTCGATTCTCAGATTTTGACTGGCACTGACGTAACCTTTTAGACTTTTAAAAGATCGCTAATTTAATAATGATTTATTTCCGAAATTAACTTGGTTGGGATTCTAAAGGCATAAGTTGAGCCTTCTTTCAGCCAACTAGATAGTTTTTTACACTCTTTTTCTGGTTTGAAGATAGAAATTTTATTTGACGTTGGAGAACTAATAGAAATCATGTTAATTCACCTTTTTCTATCTAGGGAAGCACGGCTCAACCTCCGTTCCAAGTCGAATGCTCATGTCTCCGTGGTGTGTTGATGAACTTTTAAATATCAGTTATTTATTAAAATACCTTTTTTTCTTTATGCGAATTGAACTCAAATGCATTACTTTTTAGCAATAGGGGAGAGGACAAATGGTATACCCGCACAATTGCTATGCGACGAGGAGTAGATGGCTTTGGTTTCACTCTAAAAGGAATCCCACGTAAATTGCTTACATCTAATCAATGCTAATTCATCGTTATTCATTTATTTATTTATATCATATGTCAGGAGTTTTGCTAGTTATCATTAGCCCTTTAGTTGACTTCAGACTCCACAGAGGGGAAGGAACATCAAAGTAAAAGAATTCGAGAGAGGGGGAGGAACAGAAGAGTGCTTCAAAGATGTAAATGAGGCAGACACAAAGGTAGAGTGAAAAAGGTGAGGTGAGTACTGTGAAAGTAGTCGAATATGGCACAGAGTGGGGTCATGGCAGTTTGAAGACAGAAGTCAACTGCCGATTAATAAACTTTTTTGCCGTATGAATATACGTTGCCCAGGGTGCAGCATGTGGAGGTAAGTCTATCGCACACCCCTCATTCATTTATTTAATGGCCCCGAATCCCATTCTTGCCATTCAGCATTTACTAAACAACCAATGTTGGATTGATTTTAGATTTATAAATAAGTTGTAATATTAGTATCCCCAATCTAAAAGATCAATTAATACTATCTTTATTAATAACTGGTAAAAGTTTAAGCAAAACAATGCTGTCTTTAAAACGCTATTAGAAATGTTATAAAGTGTTAATTCTCTTACGCTCATAATTTAATAAATAGTACTTAACTAAAGAATAAATAAATAAATAAATTGCCTCCTTCTATG